GGCAACTGAATTTCTGTCCTTAGAGCAGGGTTTGAGTAGTGCACAGTATACAAGGCTAAGGGTTATGTACTGAACAGAGAGAACACAAAATATTGAATAGCCGCTCTTTAAGCACCATCTAGCATGAGCACAAAAAGAGGCAGGGAGACAATACGGAAAAATATGTGGTCATAATGCAAATACACAAGGGGTCAAATTAAGTTTATACCCAGGCAACAGGAACACTGGTATTTTACAGCTTTTGAATGCCTGGTTTTTGTGACCTTAATGTTTTTTGTGCCTAACTGTAATACTCTAAAGGGGCAAATTCCAGGGATTGTCCCCGAATTCAGTTCTATAGAAGCTATTTTATGTTTAGCTAGAAGCCATCTTGTATAAAAGAAACCATTTCAGCTTTTTGTCTTTGCACGTAGGCCAAAGTGAACTTTCTATCACCCCATGTGCCAGGCCAAGACAAATGTGCTATTGGAATGTGTTAATTGGGCTGGTTCAAAAAGGAAAGGTACTCCCTCGTCCCCGTCCGCCATCTTGTTGATAAGGCTTTGTTTTTCCTAGTTTAATTAATTATTTCTGTAATTGAATGCCCTGACGTCAGACTGTTTGGTTAAGGGTATAAAGATACTAGAATTAATTGTATTAAGCAGCCTTACTGGGCCCGGCTTTGCTAAGACCACGTTTGGCTCACTTTGCTTTTATTGGCCAATAAAACTGTCTGTTTAGCCGCGTAAACTAAGTAAGGCGTTTGCTTCAACAGTTCAGACTCACTTGCAAAAGGCATGGCACAATAAATTTCTAAATTGCCAGTGCAGGTAGCTGACATCATTGGCTTCAGTGACATGTACTTTTGTCACTATAGTGACTTAGTTGAGTTGATATAGGAAGAAAGTGTTCTAAAGTCTCATCAGGGAAGGAGAAACCAACCAAACTAGATAGTCTGCTGTTATCTCTTAAGATGGGAACTTTATATGGAATTCCAAATTTGTGTAAGGAAAAGGAACCAAGGTTCATAGATTTTTGTTCCTTGCTGCACAATACATGTGAGATAAGTAAATCTTTATAATTAGCAATGGATTGTCATGAAAATAACAATGTCCAGGTTAGCTTTTTCAGAGATCTTTACTGAAAGGATCATGTTCCGTAATCAAAGGGCTGTTTAAGAGTGCCAGAGTGGACAACTTCTTCCTACACACCCTCTTGTTCACAGCTGTAGTAACAAATTGTTCACTTTGATTTTATCTTAAATATTAACTTAATACTAGCTCTTGTGTAATAGCACATAGTTTCTGCTTAGGAAGAGAACAAGAACTAGGTGGTCCAAGCAATCATGAAGATGAAACTTCTTACACCCTTGTAGGGTGACTATTCCAGGTCAGGCATGAGGTCATTGACTGGACAGTATTAGGGAAAAATCACATTTTGGCTGTCTCCAGACTCTGGCCTTTGGACAGAAGTTGACAGTTGTATAAATTACATAGAGAAAATGTTTTGCGCTCCTCTCCAAGAAACCAACAAGACTTGGCCACAGCCCCACAGGCTTGAACAGTTGTACTTATGATATTTATAAAATCAAATATTGTAGATGTTATGTTTATACATGCAATATTTAAAATACAAGCACATGGCAATTGTTGTATAGTTAGATAATACAGAAAGAATTACTCCTATCACATTGACAGATAAATCCAATATGGAGGAGCAATGGGAATTGTACCACCAATACTAGATGCTTGGTTTGGGGTGGTCCTTGTCTAAAATGAAAAGCTAATGCAATGCATGACTCTGATTTCTGTGCACATTAAAGTAAGTGATTTGGCTATTCGTCTTACTAGAATTATATAACTGTCAAGAGGCAGCTATATTTGCAATAGATTTTAATACAATATCAAACTGGACATTGTTTGGTATTGAGTAGCAGTGATGGAGAGGCTTGTAGTTTGGTATTGCTGGGGTGGGAGAAAATCACTTTTTAAACATAAATATAGTATTTTTGTTGAAAGTAGTCAACCATTTGTCTGACTGCCTTATTTGTTGAATTGGGGTAGAACAATTGTCCCTTAGCCCTCATTTTCCTGGAAAGGTAACGAATATATGTTTGCATAGCTATCAAATGTTTTTTCCTTGGGGTATGAACTTGGTTTATAATGTCCTGACAGAGAGGAATATTGTGTTATGAGGATCCCTTCTGGCAGCCCAGATCTGTGGATCAAGTGGAACAAATTGTGGGTCATCTTCTGGCAATATTTCCTGCTGGTGCAGACTGATAACAGGAAGAGTGTTTTATTCTGTGTTTTCTGACTGTTTACTGTGCTCTTCAGAAATAGTGGAGGAGAAGATTTAGCAAACACTCTAAGGTTGGGCCACTTCTACTAACACAATAAGTCATAACTAATGCTCCTCTAAGATTTACTTGTCTGTTCCTTTTCTCCTGCCATACAGTTTTCATCATTCAGCTTTGCACAAAGGAAAGATTCCTATTACTTGTAAATCTTGTATACATTTTTGCTCTTTCTTGATTCCCAAAAGGAGAAATATTTGGCCTTTTTATTCTTGGATATGCACACACCAGTGAAGAGGAAATATTGTGTCTTTCAGCAGAGTCAGCTTTACCCATACCTAGACTGTAGAGTTGTGTAGGACACTTGAAAATCTGGGGCAACAGTGGGCTACGTCTACACTGTAGCCTTCTTCCAGAAAAGCTTATGCAAATGAAGCATGGAGTGGAATATTGCCATGCTTCATTTGCATAATTAACGAGCAGCCCTTTTTGCGCAATAGGCTTTTGCGCAGAAAGGAGCTGTCTACCTAGCTCCTTTCTGTGCAAAAAACCCTTCTGTCCAAAAACCCCCTCTTGCGCAAGAGCCTTTTTCCTGGAAAAAATGAAGAACGGCTTGCGCAAGAGGGGGGTTTTGCGCAAAAAGGAGCTGTCTACACAGCTCCTTTTTGCGCAAAAGCCTCTTCCGCAAAAACAGCTAACTAAATATGGAAATGAAGCATGGCGCTATTCTACACAAGCTTCATTTGCATAAACTTTTCCAGAAGAAGGCTACAATGTAGGTAGACGGAGCCTGGCTCTTAATGTGGATCCACCTGCCTCTTCCTATCTCTGTTATGGGGCTCTGCTTCTTCCGGAGAGGATCTAGTTAACTAAAAAATAACACAGCCTGCCTGATCTATTAGCAGAACACTGAACCTGTGAAAGAGCCATTCAAGTGATGATAAATCCATTTTACAATCATTTTTCCAAGTCCAGGTATATACTGTCAATTTTTTAATTTACCATGTGAGAGTCTAGAGGGCCTTGCTTTAAAATTTGATTTAAAAATAATCCACTTGTGTGTTACTGACAGGCCTGTCAACAGGCGGTGGAAGGAAAGGGGCTGCTCTTTTGCCTTTTAAATCTAGTAAGAACAAGAGGCAGCTAGGATAACAGAATGCAGGACAATGTAGCACTTTAAAGACTAACAAGATGGTTTATTAGATGATGAGCTTTATCTGAGGAAGTGGGTCTGGCCCACGAAAGCTCATCATCTAATAAACCATCTTGTTAGTCTTTAAAGTGCTACATTGTCCTGCATTTTGCTTCAACTACCCCCGACTAACACGGCTACATTTCTATCACTAGGATAACAAGCACTCCCCTCCCCTTATCTACTAATCCAGTAGTTGATAGACTTTTGCTTTAGTACTGGTTTAGCTGATTGTTTGAAATTTAACATCCCTACTAGGCAATTTAGACTGGGAGGTGGGAGTTGCTGTTTTCCTGGCACTGGAGCAGAGACGATTCAATTTATTCCTGCCCCGAAGTGCAGGTCCTAGGGTGTGAAATGAAGATCTTCCTCATGCCCCCACTAGCTTTAATACCCCCCCTTAACCGTCGTCTACAAACCCCCCTCCAGAAGAGCAAATGAAAAAAGGGTTGGTATAGTGCCTAAAAAGTGACACCGCCCCAGCTGGCTCCTTTCTGCGGCGCCAGCTGCCCCAGACTCGCTCTGTCTACGACCAGTTTGTGAAAGCGCGCGGATGCTGTTGCCCTGCAGCCGGCAGAGGGTCGGGAAGGGGACTTTCCCTGCGCACTCCAGGCGAGGGAGCGGGCGGGGAGGCAGACAGGAGGCTGGCTGTGCGGCCAGGGGAGGCAGGGCCGGGCAGGGTGGAGGCTCCTTTCTGCGGCGCCAGCTGCCCCAGACTCGCTCTGTCTACGACCAGTTTGTGAAAGCGCGCGGATGCTGTTGCCCTGCAGCCGGCAGAGGGTCGGGAAGGGGACTTTCCCTGCGCACTCCAGGCGAGGGAGCGGGCGGGGAGGCAGACAGGAGGCTGGCTGTGCGGCCAGGGGAGGCAGGGCCGGGCAGGGTGGATGGGGAGGGAACCGCTCCTCCGGCTCGGCTGCCAGTTTCTCCAGCAGGCGCAGCAGGAGGCTCC